GGCCTCCTTTCTGTGACTGGACTCTGAGAGGCGCGGTTCTCCGCCCCTGGGGGTCTTCGCGAGGCGGCCAGTGGCTGTCTGGACCGAGTAGAGTGCCCCACCCCCAGTCCCGGTAGTGGGTGGGGGGCGCGCCCAGGCCACAACAAGGACTGGAGCCCAGGGAAGCGGAAAGTGGCCCGAGACGGGTCGTGGGGCCCAGAGAGGTGGGCGTTCAGAAGGAACGAACTTTTCCATCTGCCCTTGGGCATCTCAGCGTGGCATCTGGGCCGGACCTGGGGTGGAGGTGGCCTGTCCCCTCAGCCTGGCCGGCCTCGGGCCCAGCCCAGGGCATCCTGCCTGCCCACCGTGGGTGGGGAGAAGCCCTCCCAACTCCCAGCCAGCTGCTCAAATCCCACCTGGCCTGCCTAGCCGCCTCCGGGCAGACTGCCTTCTGGGAGGAGATGGGCACCAGCCTGTTGCTTCCTGGTAGGTTTTGAGGTCTCTCCCTCTGATGTTCACAGTTGGGCTCTGGCCAGAGAGCTAACTTTCAGGATTCCCCAGGATTCCCTGCCTTCGAAGCCAGGGGCCATTTCCTTCCCTCTTGTCATGAAGTGAGAAGCCAGCTCTCCTCCTCCCAGGAATGTGCCCTCCTGAGCATCAAGCCTCAGGGATGATGGCCTACCGGTTCCCCACTTCCTGCTGGACCCGTCACTGCCCGGCTTTGTTGGGAGGCCAGTCCCAACTGAGCCCTGGCTGCTGTGACTGACTGTGCTAATATTGAACCTTCGAGGGTGTAATTAAGGCCGTCATGTAGCACAAGCACCCCTGGCTTCCATCCCTTTGTGTTTCTGTTTAAAAACAGCCTGTGCCGAACAATATGCCTTTGTTTGAAAAAACAGCCTGTGTAACCCAGTCGCTCACTGATGGTTACTGACACTCTCCTTGACCACAACCCACAATAAGAAATATGAGTCTCACCATCACTCAGTGCCTTCCACCATTTACATATTTTAAAACAACCAAACCCATTGCCTTGACTCAGAATCACCAAATGGGATCAGCAAGTCTGGACAGGATACAACTGCCACTCCCCCCC